GCTGTGACGCTGCCAGCATCCCGCAGAGCGCTGGATCCAGGTGGAGAGTCCCCTTGCAGGCGGGAGGGGAGGAAGCTGTCTGCAGAAAGATGCTGAATTTATGTTACTCGCACTCGCTCCAGGAATGCGGTGAATGAACTCGCAAAGCCCAGGGCAGGAATCAAGTGTGCTTCAGCCCTGACCTTGCCTGACTTTCTTCCGGGCTGAAGAGGCGATGGGGCCAAGCCCCTGGCCCCACAGCCCATCTGAATTTACCGTGTGCTTTTTCTTGCAATGGCTTCCCCCTCCCGAGAGCCTGCACGGGTGGAACGTGATCATCAGAGGCTGAGTCTTTCACCGGGTTTCAAAGCTGGCTGTGCAGGGCAAAACCCTTCCGCTCAGCCCCCACGAAGAAAGGGGAGGGCAGCGGGGACACGGGGGACGCGGCAGCCTCCTCCCTCAGGGAGGGCAGCAAAGACCACGCGTGCTCAAGACACGCTTGTATCCTGAAGATGGGGATCGCAGCAGATCCCATCGCTGTTGCCTCTTGTAGGCTTCCCTAGAAAAGTATTGACTAAAAAGCACGTACACAGGAAAAAATCCAAACAGACGCTCGCCAGCTAGAGAGCACTGCCACACCAGGGCTTGCCTTTCTGCAGCCATCTCTCCTTTCTCCCTCTAACGCCGTTGCGCACGTTTATTTTAAGTTAAAGGTGGTTTTAAGCCTGTGCCCTCTTGATGGATCAAGAAAAACAGAAGAGATGCAGTGTCCAGTTTCTATAACTGTATCAAACCCCTTCCCCCTCCTCCTAGTTGGAATCTGCTATAAGATTTTATTCTTGGTCTTCCCAGGAACGCCCCAGGCTTGCACACCCCCCACACCATACCCTGCACACCAGCACAGCAGTGCCCATGCCAGCGTTGGAGCAGGGTAACTGCCCCCTCCTCGGCCCTGCCTCCTGCCTCGCCGGTGGAAAGCGGCTCCGCCACGACACAAACTGACCACCCGAAAGAGATGCACAGGCTTCCCAAGGTCTGGCTTGTGTAATGCTCGCACCGAGAGCCAGAGCCCGCAGCAGAGCTGGCACGGGCTCCAAATTTCCATTTCAAAGGAAATTTCAGCATGTATTTTGCTTCACAACTCTCCAATAGTGTCCTGGTTACAGCCCACCTCCCACAGCAGGCATGCCAGGTGCGGAATTCGTCGACT